GCATCACATTTTCATCAATCTTTAAGATGCTTTCTCTTCGCACATTCGCACGTTCCGTGCCTCGCACACTCTCGCGGTCCATCGCTACCACCTCCCGGTCCTCCTTCCTGTCGGTTCCCAAGAATAGCTTTCTGCAAGCTTCGTTGAAGCAGGCTACAAGACCCTCCTACGCTGCTTTCTCTACCTCTAGTGTTTACAGACAATCTCCTGCTGAAGGTAAAGATCTCTATAAAGATTTTCCTCCAAATTATCTATGGAGGGAAAGATAGTCTTCAAATTTTTCTTTCCTCATCTTCATTTATTGATCGGGCGCGAGTTCCGGTGCCTTCGCAAGGCTGGTTTCATTGAGCAAAACGCCAAGCTAACATCCAATGTCTTCAACTTAGGTGACATCGAACTTGCTGCTAAGCTTGAGGATGAATTGAAACATGAGAAGGCCTCCGGCCTCGAGGATCTGGAGACCTCGGTCCAGAACATCCAGTATGTTCTTCAGAACAACTCCTGGGAGGTGAGTATACGAACCAGAACCGTCATTAATTTCGACACGGACTCACGGATTGTACATAGGTTAAGGATGTTCCTGGTGAACAGGAAGTTGTGTTGACCAAGAAGTTCGGCAAGGAGGAGTAAGTATCTCTCAAAGAGAACCTTCGGCTCCTTCGCTAATACTTCCATCTACGGGCAGGATCCGACTCACCTTCACCGTCGCCGACCTTCAGAACCTGAGCGAACAGGAGGATTTTGATGACAGCGCTTTCGCCGATGAAATGGACTTCCAAGGCCATCAGCCCGCTAACCAGGGTCGCGGTGCCCCTGGTGGTGTTGCTCAGCACCCCGAGGATCGCATTGCTCCCGCTGACCGCGAAATGGAGGATCTAGACCGTGATATGGAGCCCAGCTTCCCTGCTCGTGTCAACATCACCATCGAAAAGACCGGCAACGGTTCTCTCCTGATCCAGACCGTTGCCCAGGATGGTCTGTTCCAGATCGAGGAGGTGTCTTACTTCTCGAAGCCCGACCTCGCGCACGCCCAAACTGCCGAGCAAGACTGGGCCAGACAGAGCCTCTACGCTGGTCCTCCTTTCGAGAACCTTGACGAGGACCTGCAGACCTTCCTCGAGCGCTACCTCGAAGAGAGAGGCATCAACGCCGAGCTCGCCAACATGATTCCTGACTACATTCAGGTCAAGGAGCAGAAGGAATACGTTCGCTGGCTCGAGAGTAAGTCTTATCGCTGCCATTTACGTATTCGCTCGTGTAGCTAACACCGTTGGTCGCAGACGTCAAGAACTTTGTCGCCGCTTAAATACCGAAATCTTCGTGGCGAAAAACTGCTCTGAAGTCCTTACTAGGTCTTCTCGTACATTGTATCAAAACCCATTGGGAAATCATAACTACTCATCCGCTATTCCCCCATTTGTGTATCATTAGAAACGAATTCAGGATCATATGTTGTACGTAGTTCACATCTAATTGAAAACGTTAAACCACGTTGAACCACTCACTCAAGTAGTCATCAACATTATCGCCGAGTTTGCCATGCTAGCGTAGAGTGACGGGTAAAATATGAGTTTTGGTATCGGATCCTTGATTCAATTGCGTGGCTTATATACAGCCTAACCAACACGTATGAACGCCTTTAGTTCGCCAGCATAAACCAATATTTCCGCTAAGAACAGAAACCCGGAAATCCCAATATCAAGAACCCAACCATGAAAGAGAACAAATGCAGAGAGGAAATGCCCTTAAAATTCCATGCTTTCTGATTTTACCTCAACCGGATCTTCATTTCCTCGTTTGCCGACGCGTTCCTCTTTGTTCAGAGCAGCGATGAATGAACGGAAGTAGTCAATATATGGCTTGAGGCTCGTCTTCTCGTAATCTTGCAATTTGCGACTTCCTTGGGAGTCGCTAGGCGTGCTGCTTTCGCCCTGGACAGCTTCAGCGCCAGCAATACTGCCGGAGTGTTCGGCATCCCATGCATCAATCTCCGCCAGTAATTGAGTGACTGTTGGGACGGAAAGGGGATCGAATTCGTCCGCCTTTTTAGCGTCGATGGGAACACAGACACGCCCCGTACCGGGATGGATGACGAAAGGGCTCTTGAGCAAATGGATCATTTTCTTGCTGACTTCGGCGTCCAGACGCGGGTATGTATATTCCAGTACGATATCCTGTTTCGCGTCTCTCAGAGTGGTCGGGTTGAGGGTGCTGCTCTTGCCAGTCTTCGCAAGCGTGTCGATGTCAGCCCATTTGTTCGTACTGGACCGGTCAGGCGACGAATCCCATTTCTTGCGCAGCGCCTCATTCAGTGTCTTGTCTGGTAGCAATGAGAGAAGGCGCTCCGCTTGTTCTGAGCTTGCGAAGGTATCCTGGTCGACAAGTGTAGTTTGGGCGAAGAAGGGTTTGAGAATTTCAAGACTACGGGACATATGTGGATGTAATGGCCGTTTCATATTCACGCGCTTCCCGCTTTGAGACCCTCCTCTCACGACGTCGAGATACCCGGCAATGGCCCTTCGCCGGTCATCGGGAAGACTGCGAGCACGCGGATCACACACCCATGCGTGAGCACCACGACGACCTGAGTATACCCAAAGGATGTGCTCGAAGCCAAAGTCTTCACGCAAGGCAGTATCCACCACTTTCAATGCCATAGTCACGAAAGTCCAGCATTTCCGACAGATATTTGCCTTGGTGCAGCAAGACCGAATGTCGTCATAATCCGTCAAATCAATATCGAATACTAGCTCTTTGGAGATTGGTTTCATCTGACCGCCTCGTAGTGTTTTCCGGTCCCGCGGGTTTGTGTTATACACGGGACCGATCTCAAATCGCGAAGGGTTCATTTTCAAGATGTCCTTACGGAATCTAAGGGAAGCACTTGTCAGGAATCGATGAATTATAGGTGCACAGCTTCCCCCACTTACAGATCTGCAGTCGCGTATGATTGATAACGAAGATATGCGTCATTTTGAAGAGTAAGAGCGAATTCACGGTTCCCGAAATCAGGAGAGGGGATAATTCCATGGTTCAGCCATTGAAAGAGGTAACGGAACGGAAAGAGACGCTGATAGAACGCGAGCATTATATCTGTGTCGACTTGTGTCGACTGAGGAGCGGGCCTGAATGTACATTAATGTTAGTGCTCTGCTCAAATGCAAGAACAAACTGCGCTTACTCCGAAGCAGCTGGGGGTGCCGTCGACTCATTTTGCGCTTCAGGAGCATTCGCGACAGGAAATTCCTCGTCGTTGTCCTCATCGCTGAACATATCTTCTAGCCTCACGCCTGTTGCCTGGTTTTCTCGCGCGGTTGGCGCTTTATCTTCCGTAGTGCTAGAATGCGCATCCGTCCCAGGGGCATCAGGGAGGATCTCATCATCATGATCGTGAGCGGGCGACTCAGCGGAGGAAACTGAGTGAGGCATTATGTATCTGGTTGATGATKAGCAGTGGGATAACTTTACGGACTCTCTGTCCTACAACATCATTCATGTAATCCACACCCATCAACGCGAGACGCGTCCCGAGCGCGTGCCTCTAATTGAACGGGACACGGGAATGGCCCTTATCAGCCCTAGCCCTTATCCTTATCGATAGGCATCACATGATGTGGTTGACGTGATAAGAACCTACAACCGCAAACGGTCAGTTTCCCTGGAAGTCTCATGCAACCACAACCTCGTCAGGAACGATCTCCTTCCCCTTTCGACTTCCGCTTGCGGAATCATTGTAAGGTCGTTCAACTTGTCGTCAGAGATTTCTTTCTCTGTCTGGCCCCTCTCGGGTGGTATGATGCCTACATCTGCCCTGATTCTCACGGAGATATCCAATCAATTGAGATTCTCGTTACATCCAGAGAAAGACTCCACCACGTTCGGCTTCAAATGTTCCCTGGGGTTCTTCTGCCATCATACTTGAGCTTAGAAGACTATATTGGCCGAAAATGGTAGCAGTGAGCATACCAGAGATTTCGACATGGATCTGATATGCGTCATCGTCGATCAAAGGCCTTATGGAAGCGTTTGACAACACTGGCAGCAGGCAGTAGCCAGCGGTTGGGCATGGAGGCTCCCTTCTCTCTCAGCGAACTGAGCAGTGCTCTAGCCTCCACTTACATGGGCCTCAAACTATGGAGATTGGATAGGGCTGCTGGATTGACTCCAGTACCTTTTGCTTCTCGTTGCTGCTAGCCTTTTCTTTAACTTCGGCAGGTAGCATTGTATGGGCGTACCCATTTCAAACTCCACATTGCAGTGTTGCTTCACTCGCCTTTCTGCAGTGTGGTTGGACCATCGCAGACTAAGGCTCCATGGTGGCGCTCAGCTGTGAGCGGCTTGTTCCTATTTTTGCGTGGGGTGCCTTTTTCGTGACAAGATCTCAGTATCCGTGAGGACTCCATTCGGTAATGCTGGTTCACGTTACCTTTGTCTCACTAGGTGATGTTGGTGACGCCATCACTTCTGGTCCCTAGACTTCAGTGACTCCTCTTGTTGCCCCATTTCTTGGGAGGTCGAGAAGGGGTATCCTCGGCCTTTCACCCGAATGACACTCCGAGATGTCACATCGTTCTCCTGGTCTTGACACACGACACGCTCCCACGTAGGAGTTTTCTCTTGATAGCATTACATCGGTACCTCTATTATCCATGGTTCGATGGGGTGTTATCCGCCTACTCAGGCTGAAGGCGAATCAATATTCAAGTTACCTGGGACCAGATATTGATCGTCATCCTCGTTGATCGTGGATACGACATGGTACCACTACCATCATCAGTAATCTCGTGAAAACGGCAAGCGACTCCACCGTCGACATATAAAGTTGAGTTCCTCCTACGATCCTGACTCCTTTTCCTCTCAATTCTTTCTTTCACCTTTTCGTTAAAGAAAGTCGCTCGCTCTCAGACTCTTCATTCGTTTTCTTCCTTGCTTCCTTCGGGATTTGTCATTTATTGCTATCCAGGAACTTCTGTCTCAATATCTAGCAATTAATTATCAAAATGGTCAACGCTGGCATTGCACTTTTGGCTCTGGCCGGGCCAGCCTTTGCAGGCATTTTGCCGAACAAGGGACATGACGAGGTAAGCGTAGACCATCGCAGTCTCTCTTACCTCCTGCGTGGCAGACCACTAAGACATTACTGTAATAGGGTCATTCTAGTGATTTCGCTCATCCTGATCACCCTGCTCCCACTGAGCCTCACCGGTTCACCAGGACGTTCTTGACCACATCCTGCCCAAGTATGATGCTCCACCTGACCTTTTCAAGCGCATGTGTATTAATACTCTTATCGCAGTTTCTCTCTCGACAGTCACTTCTGGAACCAAGACTTTGACGGTTCCTATCACTCTGACTGAGACAATCACCATGACTACCGTCGTTGAAGAATTGAACACCGAGACTGCAGTGGTCGTGCCCACTGGAACTGTGTCTACCCACACTCTGGTTCCGACTTCTGTCCCCAGTCCCAACGTGACTACTATTGTGCCGCCTCCAACGATTGTCCCAACAGGTGTACCCGGCCAGAACACTACCATCGTCTCACCGCCGGCTCCTTTCGCCAACAGCACTGTTCCATCTGTTCCCACTCAGCCAGTTCCTGTTGCCCCTGGACAGCCCTCGGCTCCTAGCCAGCCTTCTGTTCCTGCTCAGTCTTCTGTTCCTGGCCGGCCTTCTGTTCCTGCTCAGCCTTCTGTTCCTGCTCAGCCTTCTGTTCCTGCTCAGCCTTCTGTTCCTGCTCAGCCTTCTGTTCCTGCTCAGCCTTNGTTCCTGCTCAGCCTTCTGTTCCTGCTCAGCCTTCTGTTCCTGCTCAGCCTTCTGTTCCTGCTCAGCCTTCTGTTCCTGCTCAGCCTTCTGTTCCCAGCCAGCCTTCTGTTCCCAGCCAGCCCTCTGTTCCTGGACAGCCCTCTGTTCCTGGACAGCCCTCCGTTCCTGGACACCCCGCTCCAAGCCAGCCCACTGCTGTCTCGCCGGTGCCGCCAACCCAAACTCCTTTCAAAGGCTCTGCTTCCCAGTTCGAGCCCGCCGCCGGTCTCCTGGCTGGTGTCGTGGGTATCATGCTCATGCTTTAAAGCATTCATCTATGGCCTTCCGTATTCAAGGTGACTGGTTGTCATACGGGCGGGAAAGGTATATTTTCGATAATCCTGGATTTTCTCTTCTCGCACGGTTTTGACTTGGTCTCTGTTTGTCATTTGACATCCAAATTTCGGCCAGCTATTTTGAAAAAGTTGTTCCTTCGCTCATGGTTTATGGACGGAGTTATTGTTTGTCAAATAACGAAGTAATAGTAATATAATGCGGGCGTAGCAAATACATTGCATGCTCTAATAGAGTCAATTACATCCTACTGTCTAGTGACTCTCTTAAATGATAAATTTCGAGCCTATCTAGTCAGCCGGTTCTTACCACATCGGAATTGTGTACAGACCATCAGAATGTCGGCAGGATCTCGTACCTCCGGTTCAATTCTCGTAGACGTGTGTAACCATATTCGAGAACAGCGAGCTTGCGCTCACATAGACACTGATGAAGGGCCCTCGAACGCATAATTAAAAATGTCAAGCCGCTAGAAAAAGTTAATCCAAGAGCCATGTATTTGACATTGATTCTATGATCAGGTTTGCTCTATGCAAAAATAGATTAAAGCAGTGTTCCAAACAGAAATGACGCAGACGCCTACACTTCATCAATCTAAACCTTTAATAGAGACTGAAAGGAGTGAAATAGAGGATATATAGAAGATAAATGCATTCGTAAGAGAAACAAAAAGTTTTGTCGAAATAGTTCACTACCTCAAACCCTGGAGCTCCTGCTCGACTTCGGCCTTGACCACTTCTCGGACACCCACCCATCCGGCGCCAGCGCGGATAGGAGTAACTCTGCTTTCGCGCTGCTCAAGCCCAATGAATTCCTGGGGAAGAACCTCGGTGAAGTCATAGCCGTCTTCGGCGCGCAGGGCCAGGTCGACGGCGCTTGCGAACTTGGCCGGGTGGGCTGTTGAGAGGGAGACGTGCTTGACTCCAGGATTACGCTCGATTGAACGGAGAGCTGCCCGCACACCGACGGCAGAGTGAGGGTCGAGAATGTAGCCGCCAGTCTTGGAGCTCTTGGCGCTGCCAGGGCCGAGGTTGGAGGGGAAAGAAGAGGCGTAGGTGGACTTGATCTGGTCAATAGTCTCGTCGTTGCTCACCCGCTCACTCTCGAACTCGGCCTTGGCGCCCTCGAGGACGGCCTGGGGTACGGTGAAGCCACCCTGTGTCTTGAGCTGATTGAGCCAATTGCTGACGCTCTCGCAGGCATGCTTGCGTCTTTCGTCTGCAGAGCTGGCGCCGTCCGCCTGGAAAGCAAGGAACCAAAGGAGACGCTCGAAGTTGCTGCTGACGAGGATGTCCATGGCGGGGCTGTGAGTCTCCTTGACGCCCGCGGCTTGTGTAGTGTTCTTGGTGTACTGGCCACCACTACGGAAGAAGCGGTCCAGGATGTCATTCTCGTTCGTTGCGATGACAAGCTTCTCTGCGGGAAGGCCCATGCGCTTAGCGAACCATCCAGCGAGAATGTCACCGAAATTTCCTGAAGGAACAACGAAGCGCATCTTTGTGTCTTTGGAGAAGCCGGGGGTCTTGATGAGAGAGAAGTAGGAGTAGAAGTAGTATGTGATCTGAGCCAGAATACGAGCCCAGTTGATGGAGTTAACAGCGGCAATGTTGTGGGTTGAGTTGAGATCAGGATCGGCAAACAAGGCCTTGACAATGTCCTGGCAATCATCGAAAGAGCCCTCGACTGTCAGGTTGTGTACGTTGGCATCCAAGACAGTCGTCATCTGAGCCTGCTGGATGGGCGACACCCGTCCAGTGGGGAAGAGGATGAAGATGGAGACATCCTTCTTGCCCCGGAGCCCATAGATGGCTGCAGATCCAGTATCTCCACTGGTGGCACCAATAACGGTCAAGTGGTGTCTGTCCTTGCCCTCCTTGCCCTCATTCCTGCGCACCAAGAAATATTCAAAGAGGTTTCCGAGGAACTGTAGCGCGACATCCTTGAAGGCGAATGTTGGTCCGTGGAACAATTCGAGCAAGTAGAGGTTGCGTTTTTCGTCCAATTCAACCAGAGGCGTCCGCTCAGGGTGCCGGAACGTAGCGTATGAGCGTCTGATGATATCTTTGAGGTCTTCCGAGGGGATTTCGCTCGGTGAGATGTACAACGACATGATACGATATGCCAGATCTTCGAAACTCAGGTCGCGCCACTCCGTCTCCCATCTCGCAGGAAGCGAGGGAATCTCTTCGGGGATGAACAGGCCACCATCGGACGCCAATCCCTTAAGGACAACATCTTCGAAGGACAGCTATACAGCCAGAAGGGTCAGCAGAATATCTTTTTGGGAAGAGGTTAAATTATTCTCGACCGACCCCGTAGGAGGCACCCCGCGTGCTGAGATATTTTTGCGAAAGCGTATGAGACATGGCTAGGAAGTAAATGTTGATGTCGTGAGTATACCAGCTATCTCAATTGGGATGATGACGGCTCCGAGTACAAGACAATTGCAATCAGAGACTGAATTGTAAAAGAATGAACGAAGGCGAGTCTGGCGATGATTCATCCCACCTCAGAACTGAACTATCTTCAAAAACGCCGCGGGGGAGGACCATGCCTGTTTGGGGGTTAGCGTCTCCGACAACGGCACACCTAACTCACGTGTATTAATGGTTGGCGCTCTGGTATCTTGGCATCATGATACAAGGAGGTAGTACTCGAACTGGATCCAAGCATAGTCAATCAAACGAACGAGCGAGAGAACACACAAAAATAAATTTGGTTAACTATGTAGGTTAATTATTATCCAGCTCGGTGCGAATCGGACAATGGTGTGGGATCTATATCAACAACTGTAAATACTACTCCTGACCTTGAGAAGGCCACGCCGAATCATCAAATAACCAGAGCTTCCCCGCGTTAGAATAGTGACAGAATATCCTCATTAGTCTTTTTTTGCTGACTGCCCCCCGGGGGTGGCGATGTGGTGTTGGCGGAGAGATCAAGGCCAGAGAAGCCGTTCATGAGATCCGCAGCGGCACCACCGCCGTTGGGAACAGCGCTGCTGGCTGATGCGGCGGCACTGCCACTGTCGCCGAACACGCCAAGGAGGTCATCCAGGTTGTTGCTGGGGGCAGGAGCGGGTGCGCCAACAGCAGGAGACTCTACTCGCACGGGAGTACCGGCGAGACCCTCGAGACCGGACATTCCACTAGCAGGTTCTTTCTGAGTCGAAGCGGGAGCTGCGCCATCGAAATCGATATCCAGGAGGTTCTCGATGTTGCTCTGGGCCTGTGGCGGGGGTGTAGCACCCGTGACTGCGGCAGCCGCAGCGGCTGCAGCCAAGGGGTTTTCACGGGCGTTTTGGATTTGTTCCCTGTTCCATATATTAGCTGACTGCTCAAGAATGGATTGAGAAGCAAGGTAACGAACTCAATAGCAGCGCGTTGCACAGCATCTGCACCAAATCTGCCCTGGCCGACAAATTGCTCTGGTGGTTTGTGGTAGACGGATGCAAGAGTAGAGAGTTCACCGATCAGCTGTTCAAGAAGAGCGGGGGGTAGAGAGTGGATCGTCGTAACGATTGGAGGCTTCTGGGAAAGAACAATGTTCTTGGTAGCATTGGGATCGCTTGTGTTGGAGAGAAGACGCCAGTAAACGTAGGCTCGGTCACGGACATCGGGATTATCGTTCTCAGCCGTTGCCGCCTGGAGAACTTTCTGAACCAGTCCTTGAGCCTTCTCAGGCCGCTTCAAGAATAGTTTTACGACGGCAGTAAGAATCTGAAGCTGGGTCTGATTAAAGAATTAGCTTTGGCATCCACAAGTCGAGCGCAGCAACCAGACCTGTGAGAATTCTTCGTTGAACCCTTCCACAAACCCAGCCAGAATGTCGCCAGCATTGCTGATTTTCTCTGCATATTCTCCCACGATCCAGATGAGCGCGGCACGGGCGTTTGGTTCATCCAATTCGTCAATGCATTTGCAGAGAGTAGGGATGATGCCTTCGTATCCAGGGTATTTTCGGAAAATGTCTTTGATGACAACAATAGCCTCCTGTACGACGTAGTTCACTTTGGTGTTGATCAAATCCAATAATGTGTTTACACACTTCTCGCATGAACCCTCGATCTTGATGGCAACCTGGCCTATGGCTCTTACGGCGCGCCGCACGAAATCCATGTCGACCTCCAATGCGTACTCCCGCAGCTCTGCGAGGAGCTGATCGACGTTGCGGTCGTTGGCTATGCGGACCATAATTTCCAGTTTCTGGAACTTGACATAAGGAGGGTCATTGTACTTGCAGAAGAAAACCCGCAACTCTTTATTCAGAATATCGGGCTGCTTCTGCAACAACAGATCGATGTTTCGCAATGCGACATATTGTACCTCCGGAGCGGAGGACACCAGAGTCACTATATAGATATCAGCGTGCCATGCCTTCGGGATAACAAGTCGGCTTAAGAGGAATACCTAGAGGGGGCGCCATCTTCTTCAAGTAGTTGCTCGACAACTCCTGCTTGATGTTCTTCATGTGCAGGAAAACGACCTTGACCGCTGCCAGGACTACACTTGGATTGGCATGTTGAAATTGCGGCGCGACTCGCTCGCAGATGTGCTCTGATTCTGTCACATCACTGGTTTTGTATTCTGCCAGAGTCGTCAGGATTGTGACCCGACCCCACTCCGTACATTCATTCAACGCCATCAGCATCTTGCGCAGTATGTTAGATGTCACTTGGAGGGCTCGAGCCTCAGGAGCGGCATGATGGATCTCTGAAAGCGCGGTCACCGAGTTCGCAACCACCATAGGATTTGGATCGCCGATCATTTCCTGCAGCATCTCAAGGAAACCATTCTCCAAACACAATGAAGGATTCAAGTCGAATAGCTTCGCCACACAGATCGCGGCGGTCTTTCGGACATAGGGTGATTCATCCCGGAGTGTCTTGCGAAGTGGTTCCTCCATGTAGTCAACCATTTTATCCACCCGAATACATCCCATTGTTCTGATAGCCAGTGCTCTAATCAAGGGG